AAATAAATGAATGATGTTATTTATAAATATATAAAGTTTTATCAATGGAGCAGAATAGTCTACAAGTAGTTTTATTCAATGAGGAGTATTTACAAATAAGGATCTTAATTAAAGGATGGAACAAAATTTATAGATTTCTATGGGGCCATTCTTGCAACAACCATGATATAACCACGTAGAAAATGTATCCAGAATTATTGCTTATAATTATCCTTTCAGAAATGAGAACAGGCCTTTGCCCAGCTTTCGTGTCTGTTATAGGTTTTACTTTAATCGAAATTTTCACTTCAATAATAATTTATAAAATCCTAAAGTGCACGCCTCTGCATCTGATTGACTCTCATTTCTAACTTTTAAACGGTGTTGAGTTCAATAACAAAAACCAAAAGGGATCCTCCTTAGAATATATGGAATCTACTTAATACACATGACTTAATTCAGAAGATACACCGACGCACAGACCAACGGCAGCCATCCATATTATATTTAATTAAATGTTTTGTTATGTAATCTATAATGAATCAATTAGAAAATAACCTCATCTTATAATTCAATTTCTTTAGTTATTATACCGTTAGTAATAATATGGATTCGATGTCTAGCTAAAGGTATAAGAACGACCTTATGTAGCGAAATTGAGGTATGGTCACATATTGAGAGTAGAGCACTCCCTCACGTTGTGAGGCGTGCAATAAAGGAATGTAATGAAATGCTTAATAAAACGAAGACAATCGACATCAGTGACTCCACACTCAATATTCTCATTCCCACGACAGAAATGACATGCCACGCTCGCTCATAAATCTATTTAATTACGTAGTAATACCGTTTCAGGAATGTTAAAAATGCGCTAATTATTATCCGTGGCGAGTTCTTGATATCATGTTACACAACCAAGAAAACACTCTCGCATCGAAATAAAGAAAACTACAAAATAAGTGTACCAGCCCATGATGTATGCAGTGGCGAAGTTAGAGCTCCAAGCTAGGGCAAGCCCAAGATATAAATTGATAAAAATATAGATTGTTGTTCTTAGTAGTTTTATAAAAATACACCAATCTTGATCTGTCTCCACGCTTCAGTTTCATATTCAGTGCTGTCAAGGACGTGTTTAACAAAACACACAAAAGGCATACCACTGCTAGATAGATTTATTACTATCAGCGTAGCTTCGGTGGCTTTGAAGAAAGCCGTTTGGGTTGGTTTAAGCGAAAGAAAAAAAACATTTGCATCTAATATAATACATGAACAAAAGTAAAACACGAACAAAGTACGAACAAACTATGTACAAAATTAAAAAAAAATTATTTACATTCTAATGGATAAGAGATAAGATAAGATAAGTGGAATCGACTCTCGTTCTTATCGAAAGATTTAATTACGTCCACGTAAAATGTTGGTTAACGTTTTAATTGTACCAATAACTGTTTTTAATTGTGATAATTGATGAAATCTGAAATACACTCTTAACCTTGTGTATTATCTCAACAAAGTTTAAAGATTTCCTCTCCGATTATCACTTTAACGCACTTCAATTCATCACAAGGAACACTATTATCCTCCATTTTCATTAAAAATCTTTAAAAAAGCATAAACTTTGAACTCGTAATATTAAATCGCTTAAGATAAGCACACAGAGTAAATAAACATTGAAACGTGAAATGAACTTACAAACGTTTTGCCCGCACGCCTCCGCTTTTAACAAATTTATTCCCAAAAGCCTGGCTTTAAATCTCTATACTAATTGCTATATATACAATCGTAGTTATATTTCATTATAGAATATTTTGCCATAGGTTAGAAAGAGAGCGATCGTCTTCTCGAAAGCCCCGTAAAAAAGCCCACGCGAGCGAGGGAGACAACTATTAGCTCTATTAAAACTCATTTTTTATGACAGCAGCAGTATCGCTATGGCAAATACGAGGTCATCGGTCGACATGTGTCGAACAGTGGAGTGCGCGGGAAATTTGAAATAGCTTAAAACATTTTACGAGTTATTTTATTAGTTGGTATTATTGATTGATATTATTGATTGATTCAGGTTTAATAAGGCAAGCCCGGCTTTTCGGCTTTAATGGAAGCTTCACCACTGGATGTATGGAGTTTCATATCAGATTATGTGTTGCATTTTAATTTCGAATTTACTCTGAAACGCACCACACGTACCAGATAACTTCAGTTCAAATTCGAATCACGGACTTAACTGACGCCTGACGCTGTCCAGTAACAGTTACTTTAATCATTTATCCAAGCATACATAGAAACGGATGACTTCCTGCGTCCATCAAAATTGATGTCAACCGCAGTTATTTTGGATTCCGTAGTTAAACTTTAAGGAACCTCTCATAGTTCCACCATGTCGTTTGCCCGTCCATCCGCGGACGATTTACTCAGAGACCTTAGGTGCTACAAAGCTGTAATTCGTGTTAATATATGGAATAATTATACAAACTTATTTTTTATGACACTTTCGCTTATTTTTAGTTAGTAGTTATTGTAGGCCTATAGTTTCATTGGTGGTACTCTTGTGTATTGTGTACTGTGGTGTAAGTGGGCGACCCTGAGTATAGTTTATGATAGTGGTAGTTTACGGAATGGTTCGCTACCTACGGTCATGTATATCTTATGATTGTACTGGTGGGAACTAATAGATGGATAGGGAATTATTACCTTCTAGACTGGACGACAACAGTGTAAGCACTGTTACTTGGTGGTAAGAAATAGGTAAGAGGGTGGTATCTACTCCGACGGCTTACCCCAAGTTATAAAGTTCGTGTGTGATCAACTACTAACTATCGCTTACGATCCATTATTTAATGATTCATTTCATAATTAAAAAGTCGTTTAAATGAAGAATAGGAAAAATTTCTTATCTTGAAGTAGAGTTTCCAAGTTTTTTGAATTTATTGGTTATAAACTATCTTAATATTGCGATTCATTTTCTTATACTACGTTAAATACATTACAATAAAATACAAAACAGTAGTTGACATAATATACCAGACAAAACCGATATATACACAAAACAAAAACAGAGTATGTGTTTGTTTATTGTGCAGATATCGGTGGCGCAGTGGCTTAGTAATAAGTTGCAATGCGGGTTGCCGCGGGTTCGAATGCACGGAGCAAGTATTTGTATGGCCTACAAATAATTGTCCGAATCTGGATGTTGGTCTTTGTGCAATGTATGTTTGTAAACTACCTCCACGATACACGAATATATCCTAGTAAGGAGACAACGCTTTTTTCAACCAAAAAAAGAAGAATACCGACTGTTTTTGGACATAAATATGTTGTAATAGTTCCCATGACATCTGAATACATGGTAGAGACATGCGACAGCTATATTATGGCTGCAGCGCGAATGGGTCGGCTCGACCGGTGGAGATTTTATTTATTAGGTTCACCAACGTTTGTTGACAGATTTTTTAATTTCTTGTATTCAATTGATTGATTCTAGTTTTAAGCTAAATGTAACAAGCATTTATGTTGGAATCAGAAGAACTGTATGTAAAATGTATAATTTTTATTAATTGAATCAAATTAACCCTTAAACCATACCCACTCTAGGAGAAACACTATTGGTACCCAGGGGTTTTAAGGACGCCAGTATATAAAAATTCATACTTAAAAAATAAAAAAAAACAATTTAATTACAATTATTATTTATTATAATAATCTGCTTATTAGACAATACAAAAAATTATTAATAGTTTTTGGTAACACATTCTTGGCACATAGCCTCAATACAGTATGTTCACCGCAAAGAGGTTTTTGGCACATGCCAGGTGACTTTGATTTTTCGATCCTTACCCCTTGGGCACATTGCACATCTTTTTTTAGCAGTGGGAGCAGAACTTGGTTCTTGCAATGGCCGATTCTTTTGCAAGATTCCACCTAAGAGAACTTGAAGAGTCATGGGCAAAGAGGGCCATGTTAATCGTTCTTCCATTTGAGGGGGTGATCAGATCTATGGCAAGTATTTTCAAGAAATAACGTCTTTTTGTCTTTTTGTGGCCATTTTTAGCAGGACATATGAATTAACACCTACTATATTCAGAAGGCCAAAAAAATTGCCATTGGCCACCTTTTTGATCTCCTAGATACGCTGTACTTGTGGTATACAAAAATACAAAATAAAAAATACAAAAATATTTATTCATAACACAAGTCTCATTTACAGTGTTAGATATGGGTCTCACCCTTCTAAGTTTGAAAAACCTGTATTAGGATGAGTCCGCTCTTCCTATAATGAGTTAGTCATGATAGATAAGACTTGTATTACATAAAGATAAATCAACAGACAAAGTAACAATAATTATAATAGCTGTGTGTGTGTGTGTGTGTGTGTGTGTGTGTGTGTGTGTGTGTGTGTGTGTGTGTGTGCGTGCGTGTGTGCGTGCGTGTGTGTGTGTGTGTGTGTGTGTGTGTGTGTGTGTGTGTGTGTGTGTGTGTGTGCGTGTGTGTGTGTGTGTGTGTGTGTGTGTTATGTGTGTGTGTGTGTGTGTGTGTGTGTGTGTGTGTGTGTGTGTGTGTGTGTGTTTTTCAATTTATACAAAAAACAAAATAATAAATATAATATAATAAGATTCATACGATACAATCGTATGTTACGTGTTGTGTGAAAGTAATGATTCATTACAGTAGTCAAGCTGTTTCAACCAAGAAGTAATCAATTTTTTTACACTCAAAGTAATGTTTGCTGTAAAACTTGAGTTTCCCATTTAATTTATTATACGATAAGTGACATTGCGAATTGAAATTTGTACGAGCAAATTTTGTTTTAACAGTGGGGTAGGAAATGACAGAATAGGGATTACGCTTACTTAAGATTTTTGTATCAAGGGTAATAGTTTTGTGAATTTTCAGAATACATTTTAATATGTAAAGTTGCCTAACAGATAAAATATTGCAGTCCCGATATAGTTCAGAAGTCCTCGATGTAATTTTCCTGAATGTCATAACTTTAAGGAGTGAGCGTTGAGCCCTCTCAATTTTAATCATTTTGGTTTTGTGGGCTGATCCATCAAATCGACTCCGCATTTAGTCTTATTATAAAACTCTATCATCTCTGGTACTTGAATCGTTGCATCAAGATCTGCTGTTGCATGCATAGTTGACAACATGGGGACAATTTTTTTTGTTTGTTTTGGGGGGCAGTAAGACAAAAGCGTAAGTTCTCCTGTAAAGGCAAACTTTGCCGTGTTGCGTTCGCGATCTTTTAGCTCAAGAAAAGAAGGTGAAATTTCTCTCTTTCTACGTAGTGTACCTACAAGATTCACCTGCTTTTGCAACAATTCTTTTGCTGCTGGTATTGACGTGAACCAATTATCACAAGTGAGGTTGGGGTTTGTGCCATGAATTGTTTCAGTCAATTTCAAAGTAAAGAAATGAGCAGCTGGTACATTTGTAGGACACGAGCCTTTGCCCAAATATACGAAAGCATCTAACATATAGGCAGTTTTAGCATCGCAAGTCATCAAATTTTTTATACCATATTTGTCTGGTTTACTCGGAATGTACATTTTGAAGATACATCTACCTCTAAAGCCCAATAACATTTTGTCTAATGTACAGCAATCTGAAGGGCTATACACTTCACTAAAAACTTTGACAATGTGATCAAAAATGTTTCTAATTGGTGCTAATCTATCATTTTGCTGTCGTTCTTCTCTGGTAGACCGGTCGTCAAAATGCAGACAGTTTGTCAGAAACTCAAATCTGGCTTGGCTTATGGTGGCACGAAAATAGCCAACAACTGAGTTCTTGTCAAACAATTCCTTGGTGGTGACGTGATTCATGTTGAGTACCCCTGATAAGTAGTAAAGTCTAAATAAAGCCTTCATTTCCACCACAATTGCATCCTTAGCAAAAGAAGGACGTATTTTTGTGGAACTCGATGCGTCCGCGTTTTCGTCTTCCGTATTCTGTACAGGTCTGTCTTGTTTATATTTTTCTCTCTGTTTACCAATTTCAGCATTTGTATTTCTTACAATTTCTTCAAGCTTTTCATCAGAAAAAAAATACTCCATGCTTCTAGCTCTGTTTTTATTTCACGAGCTGCAGCTTTAGGTCCAGGAGGATGAAACAAAATATTTCTTCGTGGGACTCTAGACTTTGCTGGTTTTTCACCTGTCCACCTAAACCCGTCTTTGCCCTTTAGATTGTTAGGGACAGGTAAGACACGAAGAAAATTACCTGAATCCTGAACTGTAATTACTCAGAGGAGTGTCATCTTCCGATGAAGAATCTTCTGTATCATCATCTGGATGTTCTGCTCGAAAGTCTTCAATAATTCCGTCTTCGTCAACACCATTTTCAAGGTCAGGAACAGCGACTTCACACTGCCTCTTCATCTTCTGATTGGTCTTCATGCAACCACTGAGTGATCTGTAGGTCCATCTTACGCAATTTTGATCGTTAAAACTAAAACAATGACATAAAACACAATATTGAATAAACTGTTAAAACGAAACAGCAAAATTTCTAGATTTCATCATATACGTTCCTAAAGAAAGAAACACTATTGTTATTGTAATAAATACATCAAATATTAAACTTACCCTTTAAAATATTGTATCAAAAATAACTGCATTCACCAATGTATCGACAAAAAGAAATGACAAAATACTACGTTATTACTACCCTGGGGTCTGACAGACCCATAAATAGCTATAATTCCATCTAAACTGTGTGGGCGTTGACGCTAGACTAGTGAAAAGATGGCCGACGACGTAAATAAAGATTAGCTCGAGTGGCACAATAGTGCGTTTCGTTATTGCAAAAATATCTACAAATATTCAACCTCTGGGGTTTTCTGGACCCCCGGGTAGGGTTTAAGGATTAAAATACACGGAAGAAAAACCTAAGACTATGTTCAAGAACACATTGATTACAAATTTCTAAATTAAACTCATTAAACTAATTGCGAATATTTTAACAAAATTTTGACAAAATTCAACCTGCTCAAAGTTCAAAAAACTTATGTAACCAAGTTTGTATGAAAGGGTTATTATATAATAACCCCTAAGAAATTTTAATATATTTTGATCGCTACCTAGCTATATCAAATTTGCTTTCTGTTAATAACTGTGTAAGAAATAGGATCGTAAGCTGTTATTTTTTTTAAAGGCCCACTGGTTTTCTTGTTGCTTCTTCCCAGACGGTATTTTCTGAACCATTCATAAATTAAACATAAGAGTGACTTTCAATAAGTATAACTTACTATCTACATTGAATAATAAAGTTTCTGTATCTGTTTCTGTAAACAATTTTGTTTTCCATTATCATCGATCGCTGTTTAAAAACTTTTGGGGTGCAGGAAATGGTCATCATACACTTAGTTCCTATTATTCGGTTAAATCGATTCTCGTTTGTTTTATGAATAGAAAACAAAAGAAATATTTATATCGTTTATAAACTTTTAAATTCATACTAATGTTTCGTTTATGACTTTTAAGTGGAAATTTTAATATCTAGTAGTGCATCTCAATAGGTTTCACTCACATCAATATTTTGCCAAGCAGCTGAGCATCCTATGTTGAGTTCCGATTGGAAGGTATGAAGACAACAGAGTGCTGTATTATTACACCTCTTCACATGTCCACCGCTGAACTTCCCCAAGCAATGACATAAGGCACGGTCCCGAGCCACCTACATTCAGCATCTCCCTGCATCTCTTACCAGCTCGTCACTCCATCCAGTGGGGGCTGGTATTCTGTGAGAGCACGGTTCTTTACCGATCGAGCTGAGCTATTCGTGCTACAATCACATCAGCTGTTGCATAGCTCTATTACGTAAAACATACGTTTAAAACTTGCGTATTAAATTACATTTAATCCTGTTTTTTTGTTCTTTATATACAAGACACAGCGGAACACGATATATATTCTCTTTTAATAATGATTTCTTATATTTACGCGAACACTACACATTGAAATAATATTAGTTTTTACGGAATTTATCGCGTATATTTATAACCTTTTAAATACCCGACGTTTCGAACGCTTTACAGCACTCATGGTCACGCTAGGGACTGAGATGCTCAACGTACATATGTCATAGTTAACCGCGGTTACCATAGATTAAAATTTAACTTTTGTTCCGATCTATGCAGCAGTGAACTTATGGTATCTTGAAGTCTAGCAGTTGTATGCTTGGGTTGGGATTTAATTTTATTAAGCTATTGCATAGCTTCTATCGCGGGCCTTGAGTATTGACTATACATATACATACATACATAAACACTCACGCCTGTCACCCAGAGGGGTAGGCAGAGACTACGGACTTCCATTTGGCACGATCCTGACATACCTCTTTCGCCTCCTTTACATCCATATATCTACGTATACATGCTCGTCGGTTAAGGGTACTTCTAACGTGGCCCATTTTCAAAATATCGCCAATTTGGTTGATAAACTTTTTCCTAGGGCGTCCCTTCCCAACTCGGCCATTCACATCTGCCATATAAATTTGCTTAGTCACTCTTTCCTCATTCATTCTCTCTACGTGACCAAACCACCGAAGCATTCCTTTCTTAATCCTGGTCACAACATCATCTTGCATACCACATTTATCTCTTATCACGCAATTTCTCACCCTGTCATTCAGATTACACCCTAGCATATTCCTTAAAGACCGCATTTCTACAGCATTTATTCTACTTTCGTGCTTCTTCTGCCACACCCAGCTTTCACTACCATACATTAAAGTAGGGACTAACACAGCATTATGAATTACCATACGTGCCTGTTTTGACAAATTCTGGTTCTTCATAATAGAGTGTAGTGCCCCATTCACTCTATTCCCTGCATTTACTCGTCGGTCTATATCCCTATCATATCTACCATCCCTGCTAAATACACATCCCAAATACACAAACTCATCCACTTGCTCAATCAACTCTCCTTCTATTCTTATTTCACATACCGTTTTGCTTTCTTCTCTTTCAAAAACCATCACTTTCGTCTTACTTGTGTTCACTTTCATTCCCCTTTCTTTTAATTCCCAGTTCATTAATGTAACCATCATTTGCAACTCTGCCGCCGATGACGCAAGTATGACTTGATCATCGGCATACAAAAGGCATTTGACGGTTAACTCGACCATTCTTAACCCACATTCTTCATCTTTCAAAGTTTGCAAACACCTGTCCATAAATAGGTTGAACAGCCAAGGGGAAGCCACACAGCCCTGTCTGACACCTTTTTGGATGCCAAACCAGTCCGAGTAGACCCCATTGATCCAGACACAAGCACTAGAGTCCCTATAAAGAGACCTTAATGCCTGTATCAAACCAGCGCTCAACCCATATGAGTTCAGTGTTTGCCATAACACATTCCTGTCCACTCTGTCATAAGCCTTTTCCAAGTCCATGAACGCACAAAAAACTTTCTGGTTTTTGGCCAAAAACTTCTCCGCAATCATGCGCATGGAAAAGACTTGATCTGTACACCCCATTCCCTTTCTAAAATCCGCTTGCACATCCCAAATTTTTTCATCAGTTTCTTTCATAACTCTTTCAATTAACACCTTAGCATACAGTTTACCCACAATACTAAGCAAGCTGATACCGCGGTAGTTTTTGCAGTCCTGCTGTGACCCTTTTCCTTTATATATTGGTACTATAACTGCTTTACACCAGTCATCCGGTACCCGTTTTAATTCCCAACATAAATTAAACAAGGTGTACAGCAGGCCTGCCACCACTACCTCTCCAGCCCTTAGCATCTCGAGTGATACTCTATCATATCCAGCTGCCTTACCTGCTTTCATGCTTTTCATTGCTTTCATTATTTCATCTACACTTATCTCCATACCCCTTTCCACTTCTTTCGGAATTTCTAGTTCATTTAATTCATACGACTCTTCACTCATAAACACGCTTTCAAAGTATTCCTTCCATCTGTTTAAATTCGAAACTTCATCATTCAGAATACATCCATTCTCGTCTCTTATAGCATTTATTATAGGCTGTTTTGTATTTCCCCTGGCAGTTCTTACGAGTTTCCAGAACATTTTTATGTTAGCCTGGAAATTATCAGATATCCTTCTATCATTCTTATCCGTTCTTTCTTTCTTTTTTCTTTCAACAACTTCTTTTACTCTCTTATTTAGACGTCTAAATTCTGCCTTTTTTCTTTCAATCTCATCATTCATACCAGAAGAATTATCAGCTTTGGTTGCTAGTAAATCTAACCATGCTTTCTTCTTTGATTCAACTTCCACCCGTACCTCATCATCCCACCATAACGTATTACTTTTCCTTTCATTTGTTCTCTTACTTACACCGCATACTTCGGTGGCGGTATCCACCAAACCTTTCTTAATATTATCCCACACAGTATCCCACACAGTATTGACTATAATTACTTATTTATTTTATTTAACTGCATAAATAAAATAAATAAATAATTATAATTGCATAAGTTGATAAAAAATGCTATGCAATAGCTTTACCGCGGCAGTCACCGAGTGCCACATGTATTTTTTATTATAGGATCCCAAGCAGATGGTAGCACCCAGCCATCTTCTCTATTGAAATTAGGATGTTTTTTGATTTCAATAGCCTCGCGAATCATCCTTGGAAGGAATCGGTGTTCTTTAGCGAGGATTTGCGGTCTATCAAATCTGATGTAGTGACGTGGGCGATCCTGTACGTGTTCACAGACTGCAGACTTCCCGGAGCGTCGATTCTTCACATCAGCTATATGTTCTTTAACGCGGGTTTTTATTGATCTTTTAGTTTGTCCTATGTAGGAGAGACCACATTCACAATCAAGCTTGTACACTCCTGCATCTTGCAGAGGGACATTACACTTGACTGATGGTAAAAACTGACCAATCTTCTTCAGCGGCTTGAAGTATGTTTTGATGGAAGCGCGCTTCAAGATGTAGCCAATCTTGTCAGTGACTCCTCTAACATATGGCAGTACAGCAGGTACACGCTCGACTGTGGCCGGCTTCACTCGTTCACTGTGACGTAGGCGCGGGACTCGAAGCTTGTTGTCATGCAAAACTTGCTTGACATGGTGGAGCTCTGCAGCCAGGTATTTACTGTCACAGATCCCTCGTGCTCTCTGAAACAAAGATTTACCCACGGTAGCTAACTGTGAAGGATGGTGGTGAGAATCACCGTTTAAATATCTATCTGTATGGGTCTTTTTTCTAAGTCTTCAAGGTGTTATCAGGATTCCGAATTACTAAAACATCTAGAAAAGCTAAGGAGTTGTTTGCCTCTAACTCCATTGTGAACTGAATTTTAGAATTCATAGCGTTAAGATGGTCTAAAAATGCAGTTACTTTATCTAAAGGTAGAATTGTGAAAGTGTCGTCTACATACCGCTTGTAGAATCTTGGATTTATGGGAAAACTAAGCAGGGCTTTCTCCTCAAAGTCTTCCATGAATATGTAGGCGGCAATAGGAGATACAAGTGAGCCCATCGCCACACCATCTACTTGTTCATAGAACTCCTCCTTCCACAATAGGTAGCCAGATGTAAGGCAGTGTCTGAGTAATACTGCATATTCTACGGGCATGTTGTTTTCTTCCAGCCTTCTAGTTACAATTGAGATGCAGTTTTCAACAGGTAAGCATGTGAACAATGACATAGAAATGACTCAGAAAAGAACTACTCAAACATTACGCAAATGTAATAGATTAAGTTTTTGTATTTTTTTTAACGTTTTGGTTTTCTGTAACTATGTAATATTCTTGATGTTTATTCCAGTGCATGTTGTAATCACCTATAATAGTTTGTAGCATTTAAAGTAATACCCTATCTATGTATGTATGTAAATTATAATTTAACAATGTATACAAATGTTGGTGATGCTTTAATAAATAAAAAAAAATGACTGCACATCAAAACTGACCATAGTTTCATTGTCTGCCAGATGTAGGTCTTTAATCTCGCTGATAAAATGGTAGGAATCCTTTATGTGTGCTCTTGTATGTCCCCTGAGCGGTGAGAGTGTTTTCGCTAAGTGTTGAGCCAATCTGTAAGTTGGTGAATCGATTTGGCTTTGGAGACGTAATGTGTTTTGAGCATTGGGCTTGTGTATTTTTGGTAACCCATACAATTTTGGTGATTTGGCGCACGTAGGTATTATCCATTTTACGTCCAGATTTAATTTTTCGGAGTGTTTCTTTATGAGGTCACTAGTTGTTTTTAGTGTGCTATTTGTTGGGTTGTTTTTAACCTTTTTATAAGTACTTACATCCGACAAAAGTTCTTGTATTTTAGAATTATAATCTGACGTATCCATGACTACCGTGGCGTTTCCCTTATCTGCGCGGAGAATCGTAAGTTCTGGTTAATTGCGTAGGTTCTTTAAGGCTATAAATTCGTCTTTGGGTAGATTCGGTTTAGGCACTGAACATCGACGTAACATATCCGGAATGTCTTGACGTACCACTTCCAAATCTTCTTTCCGCATATTGTTTTTAAATAAACAGTCCTCGACACTACAGGTAATTTTTTCGTACGGGTATTTTAAAAAGTTAAATATACGCGATAAATTCCGTAAAAACTAGTATTATTGCAATATATTCTCTTTGTCAAATAGATTTTAGCTAAACACTAAAATTTATTTCAATTTAGTGATAGTTATAAAAACTTTACTACGATGTTATTTGTAACGGTTTTTTTTTTGCTACTTTTATATTTTGTTAACGTAAGTACTGTTGCCTTTGTGTTACACATACACACATTGTGTTACGTTTTATTGAACAATGTTCTCTTTAACGACAAAAGAATTGAGATCTAAATGGGTGCCAAGTTCAATTGTCCGTCCTGAAATTTATTTATAACAACATAAAATATCATTTCTTCTTATAACAGGATAATATATCGTAGCCTAAGGTTTGACTTGGCTAGTTCTCATATATGAATTATTATGTTCGATTGCTAGTTTCTACTAGACATAGGCGCCGCGGCTTGTTGGAAGTGCTTCGGAAATATTGTTATTACTGAAGAAAATAACAAAAAGAGAATTTTGAATCCTGATCAAGTATATTGCTCAGCTTGTCTCACAGCAGTTCAAGCTGAAAGTGATGGTGATGGCGTGACATTTAGATCGTAAGTACAAACAAAAACTTTTTTAAACAAAAATGCTTTTTTTAGGTTTCATTATTTTTTCTAACCTCAAATTTACAATAATTTCTTAAAATTCGTTTATGCTTGCCTGTTCCTGCAAAAAGTGAGCTTTGTTATTGCTCTATATGTTTTAAAAATCGCGTTTTTTGTTACATACCTAGCTTAAATGAATAAATATTATCAATTATCAAAGTTTATGTTACTCATGATGGTTCACATTACAATGCTTTCTAAGGCCTAGTTTTATCGCTGAAGCAAACGTATCATTTGAACCAAACAAAACAAATTTCGTAGGCGTAAAACACTTATTGACAATTTTATTGTTAGCATACCTACTTTATTATCTAATTTCTAATTTAAAACATTGACATCTGAGAATAGTTTATTTGAGTTTAGATTTAACATTTTATAAGCAGGCATGAAGGTGATGGGCTTTTTTGCTTAATTTGTTACAGTTTTAAAATAAAGTGTTATAGTAAAACAGTCAGTACTGGGAATTTAACTCGTTACCTATGGGATGATCATGACATTCGAGATGAACCTGCTTCTGCTAATAAAGCCAAAACTAACATCAAAGATTTTTTTTACTGCTAAGCGTCCTGCTAAAATTTATACTGCTTCTGGTTCAAAAACTGCAAAAGTCACGCCGAAATATGACAAATGGCTACTGGCTAGAGATGTCGCTCTTTGGTTTTCCAAATCTTTGCTTCCGTTTGACTTAATTTCTGATGAAGGGATGGTGGATTTTTTTAATTTTTTCTACCTATCTATTTCATTCAGTAATTTACTTTTAATGCCTTTCTTTTTCTAATATCACACAACATTTATTATGTTCACCGAACTCAAGCATTTCTTTAATTTTAGAAATACGACATCATCTTGAATGAAGACGACGTTCCGTCACGATATACTGTGAGTAGTACAGCGCTGTCCGATGTATACGAGTGCATGCTGAGCAACGTAAAAGAAAGAATCCACATGGACGCGTCTCGGCACTGTGCTATTACCTTTGATTTATGGACACATCAATACAGGAAACTGAATTATATTACGTTTACTCTACATTATTTGAAAGCTGGTAGGCAATTTTCATATAAAATATAAAGAGACGAATTCACAGAAAAAATAAACTTAACGTAAATATCAAGAGGTTCATGCTGTTTCTTTCCTCAGCCAAGCAACCAATTTAGCTTTTGACTCGAAGTTCTTTTTTTTTCTGAGCAATCTTCTTGCATTATATTAAAACGTAATTATGTTATTCTATTTCTTATGAATTCTAATTATATCCCTGCTTGCAGATTTTGAACTGAAGTCACTGACTCTGAGTACTCACATTGTGACTGGAAAAAAAAACAGGAGAAAGATAAATGAAATGATCCAGGGCGTAAAGAAAATAATTGGACTGGATGCGAAAAATATCTACGCTGTAACGGATGCTGGCAGCAACGTGAAATGGGCAGTTTAGTTAGGAAACATGGAGCACCATTTGTGCCTCGGACATGCACTTCATAACCTTGTGACCGTGGATGGTATAGATAGTGTCCCAGAAGTAAAAGAACTGGTTAATAAATGTAAAAAAAATTATCAAGACTGTGCGCTACCGGTTACCAGAGGTGGCATTAGAAGCAGATAAGGTGCAGAAAGAATTTTTGGATAGTATTGAGCGAGTAGTAGAAACACTAGAAATTGATGAGAGTAACCCCATTTTACAGAGCAATTCGCAGACAGCTACAGAAGCAAGCACCGAAGGGTTTGCAGAAGACATGTCACTTATGACAGCTGACAATTTTATAAATATACCGTCAATTAAGACTGCTACGCCTACACGTTGGCACAGCATTTTAGAGATGCTGGAGAGTTTAATTCATGTTTGCAACCGTGATCCAATAAACAACATGTTAAGAAAAGTAGGTAAAGATAAGCTGAAAATTACTCAAAATGAGTGGATTCTTTTGGAAGACTTAGTAAAGTTTTTTAATCGATTCCGTGAAGCAGTTGAAATTCTGTCATCCCAAAAGACCTGCACTATGTATGTTGCACTTGTATTTCGCTCTGAAATAATTGATGTTCTAAAATCACTTGATGATGATGAATCATTGGTTCTGTTTCGTTTAAAACGCAACATGTTGGCGAATATTGATAAAAGATGTCCAGTTACTAAACCTGTAGTAGCTGCAGCTCTTTTGGACAAGCGGTTCATGAGTCTTAAAGAGTTAGATTTATATTTAGAGTCAAAAAAATATGACAAAGGCTTCCTTCCTTGCATCTTATATAAAAGAAGTTATAAAATCGCATGATTTGCCCGGAAATTGTGAAAGAAACGAAACTCACACTTCAGTTTCCTTAAATACTAGCAGTTCCTCATCAGTTTTGAGTAAACTCTCTAAGAAACATAGTGCTGGTCATGGTCATGGACTTGAAGATGATGATCCACTAGACCAAGAATGTTGGCGATATCTCGCTTCTGCTGTTGGATCTACGGATATCGTTAATGAGGATCTTTTATCTTTTTTGAACGAAAAGAAGAAACATTTTCCTTGGCTGTCTACCTTTGCCAGAGCTTTGCTATGTGTACCCGCTACAAGTATCCCAAGTGAGAGTGTATTTTGTGTATCTGGAATGGTACTTTCTGCAAAAAAGATCTCGGTTGAGTCCACAAATGGTGAATAAAATAATTTTGTTGCCTTGCTTGAACAGTTTTGTTTTGTTTTTTGGTAAATAAAGTGAGTCATTGCATTGATGTTTTTTTAAAGATTTTGTACACTAAATTTTCATACTGCACATAAATCAGCCACGCCGCCGGCGCCACGCCGCCGCCGAGCGACATTCATCAGCACGCCGCCGCCGCAATATTTGGGGGCGGCGCCCATGTCTAGTTTCTACCAGTAAGCCCAAATTTTCGGAATAACAAAATAAGACATAAACACAAACTATGAGTATGAGTATTTTTTAAGAAAACCTATGAATTTCGTAGCATAAATCGCAACCTTATAGGTCAGATATCGAGAGACAACCGTACAACAAGACGGAGCTCCCCGCTCCTTCGACGTCGTACTGTTATGTCCAACCCTACTTAAAAGCGCTGACTCGATTATTATATTTAGTATAAAAGCCCAGAGTTTGAGATAATCGAGACAGTGCAGCTCCAACCCATATTAAGTGCATATCGCACACGCCATTCGCTGCTTTTGTACATTTCTTGTAGTTTTTTTAATATTGGGGAAATAAACCAAGAGAACTTCCGAGATTGTGTGTAAAAGTTTTTTTAAAAACACCTTCAGAGCGGCCCTCCTAACAAATTTGGTGTCAGAAGTGGGATGTCATAAGGTCTACTGGTACATAGGTAGCGTGGCATCCGAATCCTGGGAAACTCCGAAGAAAGATCGACAGTAAGTCTCCACCCCACGAGTGCGAGCCTGCATCATCAAAACACCAACGAGGTCTCAGCCCCACGAGCTTGGGACACCATCGTTAATCCGAAGTTGATCAAGGCTGTCAGTCTACGCCACCAGCGTGTGAGCCTACCCTGAGCTGCTGCACTGCCACCGCACAACCACGTGGACGCCGCCGTCAAACGACTCCCTGGGTCTCACGGCAACTCGACACCGCTGCGCGTCATCGCAACACGACACCCGCATAACAACTAATGTTCACCGTAGTGTTCGTAATATTGTAAGTTAACATTAATTTAGCGATAATTTTATTCTAATTTTATTCTATTTCTTTAATTTTTTTTCTCATTTATTGTGTACTGTAATATCCTAATTTTACCAATTTTGTATTTCCTAACTCCTGAACCTTTCTAATTCCAAATGCATAAAGTCAAAACTTTAAAGGACAAACCAGAAGAAGTAGAAATGTCTGACAAAATTCCCTTATCCGTCTTTATAAAATTCATTAAACCTTACAATGGCGATAGAGAATCTCTTCCAGCATTTCTTACAAATTGCGATAACGCCATAGCACTCGCGAATTCGGAACAACAATCAGTTTTATATCGGTATATTATATCCTTTGGCGAAAAGAAACACTCCACACACCTTTTAATTGAACTCCAAAATTGTGGACAGGGAAATTCCGAAACAGTAATGCAATATTCGCTTAGAATCGAATCTTGTTTAACGCGATTGCAATCCGACATACATTATAGTTGTGAGAATAAGTCCGATCTAATAAGAAGAATTGACGCTATGGATGATTTAGCCCTCAACACTTATATATTAGGTTTAAATTCTAATTACGGATATATTGTTAGATTTCGAAACTTGAAAAATTTAAGCGAGGCAATTACGCATACCATAGAAGAAGAAAAAATTATTTATTCTAAGAAAAATTTCTTCCAAATCATATAAGCAATGTTCTATATGCCAAAAATTCGGTCATGATTCTTCTAGCTGTTACAATAATAGGAAAAAACAATCTCATCGAGCTTATATATATATATATATATATATATATATATATATATATATATATATATATATATTTAGCTTATATATAAATCCGCAGAATAATAATACTTATTCCAATTCTCATAACATCTCAAATAAAAATCCTATTAAAATATGAAATTATATTGAAAAAATCCGGGACATGTGATAAACGAATGTCGCAAGCGACAATATAGCCATAGCCTTCGTCGTAATATGCAACCAGATACTCGCCCGACGAATACGGTACCAAGTCCCAGTGCGCATGCACCTAATAGAAATAATATGCATTTATGTGACGCACAACCTTCTACCTCTAATGCCAATATTTGTAACGAAGATTTAAACTAACTCCGATTTCGGAAAAATGCCTACCGAAATCGAAAACATTCAAAGGCACAAATAATTATTGCTATTCTACTCTTATACCAAATATTATACCAAATATTATAATAATATATTATTATAATAATAACGAATTTAATTATAATTATCATACAAAATATTCTTATAAAACATCTCAGCGACGTCAAAATGCCGCCGATTCTTACTAAATCTTGTAATTTTAAAAATACTATTTCTTATTCTAACTCTGCATCTCGGGAACAATATCCGAGTTCATCTTTGACACAAAGTCAAAGTCATAATACTAATAATTTATTACCTCGGGAAAATTATCCCAGGACATCTCTGAATCAACATCAGAGTCTTAAAAATAATTATAATACTAATTCTTATATTAACTCTTGTACCAATTCTTATACTAATTCTATGTCTAATAATGATGTTATCACTTATACAAAACCTACACCTCGAAAAGGAATTTCGATTCATACTAATCCTACCTATAAATTAATTAAAAATAAAGGTGAAATCATCATCATCATCATCATTACAGCCATTCACAAGTCCACTGCTGAACATAGGCCTCCCCCAAGCAATGCCACAAAACAAGGTCCTGAGCCACCTACATCCATCGACTTCCTGCATGTCTTACCAGGTCGTCACTCCATCTAGTGGGGGGTCGCTCTACAATACGCCTACCGGTACGAGGCTGCCACTCGAGAACCTTTCTTCCTCATCGGTTATCGGTTCTTCGAGCTATAATGGCCGGCCCATTGCCATTTCAGCTTATAATCCGTTGGGCTATGTCGGTCACTCTGGTTTTACTGCGGATATCCTCATTTCTGTGTCTATCACGCAGAGAAACTCCGAGCATAGCCCTCTCCATAGCTCGCTGAGCGACCTTGAGCGTCCTCTTACGGCCAGCAGTGAAGAACCACGTCTCAAATCCGTAAGTCAATACTGGCAACACGCACTGGTTGTACACTTTAGTTTTCAGAGATTGAGGTATACCTGACGAGAAGATGTGTCGTAATTTCCCGAACGCTGCCCAGCCGAGTTGAAACCGTCGATTGACCTCTCGGTTGAAGTTGGACTTACCTAGTCGGACTATTTGTTCCAGGTAAACGTACTCGTCAACAACTTCGAGCATAGTGCTCCCAACAACTACCGGCATAGGTGTGACATGGATATTAAACATGATCTTTGTTTTGTCCATGTTCATCTTAAGACCTATCCGTTGGGAGACACCATTGAGGTCATTGAGCATAGTGCTAAGGTTCTCCAGCGATTCTGCCAAAAGGACTATATCGTCGGCAAATCGAAGGTGAGTGATGTACTCGCCATTGATGTTAATACCGTATCTTTTCCAGTCCAGTAGCTTGAAAACGTCTTCCAACGCAGCGGTGAAGAGTTTCGGGGATATAACGTCGACCTGTCTTACACCTCTCTGCAGTTGGATAGGTTTCGAACTCTGGTTCTGTACTCGGATGGCCATCATAGCCCTACTGTACAAACACTTCAGCACTTCGATATACCGACAGTCAACTTGACACCGCTGAAGGGACTGTAGCACCGCCCAAATTTCGACGGAATCAAAGGCTTTCTCATAGTCCACATACGCCAGGCAAAGTGGCAGATTATACTCTTCGGTCTTCTGTACAATCTGCCGCAGGGTATGTATGTGGTCTATGGTACTAAAGCCTTTTCGGAAACCGACTTGTTCGGGAGGCTGGAAGTCGTCGAGTCTGAGTGCGAGATGATTCGTAATGATTCTCGAAAACAGCACGTAGACGCGGCTCAGAAGGGAAATCGGACTGTAGTTCTTCAAGAGAGCGTTTTCGCCTTTCTTAAAGAACAAGACCACCGCACTTCTGCTCCACGCCTCCGGAGTATGCCAGCATGGAGGACGGAATTGAAGAGCTTCTGAAGGACTTCAAGTACCGGTGTTCCGCCCGCTTTCAAAAGCTCCGCTGTAATTCCGTCCTCGCCTGGGGCCCTGCCGTTTTTAAGGTGCTGGAGAGCCATTCTAATCTCGCTCAGACTGACGTCCGGTATATCATCGTAATAGTGTCGGGTAAGACTTGCTCTTGGATTGTTACTCACACTTGCGTGTGGCTCCAACGATGATGTGTACAGCTGCCCATAGAACCTCTCAATCTCACTCAAAATCTCTGGTGTCTCGGAAACTATGCTGCCACACTCAGTCTTCAGCTTTGATAGTTGGCTCTTTCTGGCAGACAGATCTCTGGCAAAGACTTTGGAGCCCTGGTTCCACTCGATCGCTTCTTTAATACGAGCAGTATTAAAGTTGCGTAAGTCTTGCCGCATGCATTTGGAGATCTGTCTGTTCAGTTGCCTGTATGCTGTCAAATCTGTTGACGATTGCAGCCTCATCTCCCGTCTAACAGCCATGAGATTAAGAGTGTGATCGGAGTTTTTGTGTTCTTCTGCGGCGGATCTTACAGAACTTAGCTCCGACCGCATGGACAGTTTCCACGAGCTTGTCATTCATATCGTCTACT